AGAGGAGGAGGAAACAAGTCAAGAGCCTTTTTTTCCCCCGTCTCACAGCAATTGTGCCACAAGGACTATATTATTCGCATGTTTATGCTGTGGCAGCGTGGTGATTGATGTAGCTTGGTGATGATCAGATGTGATAAGTAGTCTTGACACTTTCAATTTGGGTGTTCGGCTTGGCTGCCTGCTAGACTTCAGAGGTCCAGAGATGGCTATCTGCTGCTTCAAAACCAGATCCCAGCAGGTGTCTCTGATTTGGCTTGCTAAAATCACAAGAAGCTTCTAAAAACCTTGCCCCAAATTAGTTTTTCAGAGATAAATATCTGATCCCTGTTTTTTCTTGGCTGCTTTTTCACCCAGTCCGTCTAGGGAAAACCTCTGTTCATCTTCCTCCTCTCTGGTGTGCTAGCTGCTTAGTGTCTTTGCTATTCAAATTTGGAACCTTACAGCTGTGTTCTTCTCAGCAGAGGCAAAAGACCCACATTAACTTGTCTTTATAGGTTTCCTGCAAGCACTCTCCAGGTGCCGTTCTCAGGTTTACAGAAGCTGTGTGTTTTGTATGGAAACATGCGGTCTGATAGAGGAAATTCTCACGTTGATTTGAAATGACGGACGCATTATAAGGCAGAAACTGCCTATAAAGTGTAATGGGAGTTTAAGGGGTAACTACATCCCTGTAAGCTCTATTAGATGCTCTGCATGGTATAATTGTTAGCAGCAGTGATCATTCCTTTCCAGGTACTGGAAACTGTGCTATAGCAGGATGATGGAGCTAAAGTCAGACAGGAGCTCATTTGTATGAAGTGCAGGGCGAGAACTGAAAGGTGGCAAGTGGGATTGTCTTGTCTGGTGAGCTGGAAGAAACACGCAATGTTTTAAAGCAGATCCTTGGATTAGAAGGAAAGGAGATGCCATGTAACAGTGCAGTGAATGCTGTGGTTTTCTGATGTGCAGTGGTATCTCCAAATATTTCAATCTGTGAAGCAGAGGCCAAAAGAAGGAGGCCAGCTCCCCCCCATTAATTAAAGATAGATAGCCACCAACTAAATAGCTTCCCCAGAGTTTCCTGGTTTGTTTCTCGGGTGTTTTGTGGAACAGCTGTGCTGGAGTGCCATTGCATCCCAGAAGAGTGAAGAATCACCTGCTTTACTTACAGCAGGTACGATATGTGCAGCCCCTGGGGTGTTCTACCACAGCTGCTCCGTCTTATTACGGTGTCTGTAACCTATCTCCAACAGAAATAAAGGTCCAGAGAAGGGCAACAAAGCTGGTGAAGGGTCTGGAGCACAGGTCTTACGAAGAGCGGCTGAGGGACCTCAGGTTTAGGGAGGTTTAGGCTGGATATTAGAAAAAATTTCTTCACTGAAAGAGTGATCAGGCATTGGAACAGGCTGCCCAGGGCAGTGGTGGAGTCACCATCCCTGGAGGTGTTCAAGAAACGTGTAGATGTGGTGCTTGGGGACATGGGTTAGTGGGTTAGGTGGTGTGGGTTGACAGTTGGACTTGATGATGCTTGAGGTCTTTTCCAACCTTAATGATTCTGTGATCTGGATAACAAATGTTGATTTTTCTGGATCATTAGTTTTTAATGTGGTCTTAGACCCTCGGCTACACCAGCTGCTCTGGTGCAGGGTGATGGGGTCTCCCAGTGTGAGTACATCATCAGGAGGGGGTTTTTCTACAAGGCTGAGCAGAACTTAGTGTAAATTAGATGAACTGCATAAATGTTATGTTTTAATTTTCAGCTTTGAAAAACTAACCATCAGAAATTCAAAACGTCATTATTCCAGATACTATCTTTTCATGGTGGGTAGCTCCATTAGTAGCTACTAAATAGCTCAGATACAAATTCTGGCTCAGGAACTCCTTGAGTCTGATAACTGTAAATCTGGCAAGGGACACTGTGGGAGGGCTGGCTCTGTGTGTGCCCTGCTCTAGTCTTCCTTTAGCATCTGTGGCTGGTTGTGGTCAGAAATAGGATGTGGGTGGAAGGGGCCTTTGGTTTGGCCCGGTATGGGTGTTCTTGTATTGCCATTTGAGATTCTACCAATGGAATATGGCTTACAATGCCCCATCCCTGGAGGGGTTCAAGGCCAGGCTGGATGAGGCTTTGAGCAACCTGGGCTGGTGGGAGGTGTCCCTGCCCATGGCAGGGGGTTGGAACTGGATGATCTTTAAGGTCCTTTCCAACCCAAACCATTCTGTGATTCTATGATAAATATTTATCCCTCCATATGTTATCACTATAGGGAATAAGATGGGTGCCTGCTCTAGTGGAGAATCCACAGGGATTTTCTCAGCGTCACATTTATCCGCTCTCATGTGAAATATTGGCTGTGCTGCCTTTTTCCCAATACTGAGTTAAGTCTTCCTTGGTCATACCTTTGTCTGGTGTAAATCTGTTGTGACAGGAGTGCCAGTATGAACCTGCTGAGGATCACAACCATCACCACTGTTCTCCCGCACCCAAGAGCCGATCTGCCAGCACGCATCAAAGCCAGATGCCTTTCACGGAGGAGGAGCCGTAGCAGTCTAATTGGGCTGGAAAGCGGCGTCCTTTCCAGAGCTGTGAAAGGCCTGATGAAAGTTTAAAATAGAGCCAACTTATTGCTGCTTCCAAGGTTGGAAATCGGGGAGATAGTTCTCACTTGAGCTGAAATTAGTTGGGCAGAGAGCACTCTAGTTACATATATACTCAGGTATTTGTACCTTGTTTGTACTCCACTGTTAGGAACCAAAATAACAATATTTCCCACTAATGCATTTGACCATCTAAGGCAACATCTTGTTGTTACTTAGAAACTTTAAATGGTGGTGGGCTCTTCCAGATTAACCGCTTTGGATGTCCTTCCTGTTAGAAAACAGGGACAAGTTCATCCAGCTGGTCTGCCTTCGGAGAAGTGGTATGAGCTGGATGTCTTGGTGCTCACCTATAGAGATGTACGAACTGTCTGTCTTGTGGGATTTTTCCTGATGTTGCTTTTGTGTCTTCCTGGCCAGAGGGTGAGGAAGAGGAAGAGGATGAAGAGGAAGAAGAAGAGGAAGAAGAGGAAGATGAGGAGGACAAAGACATAGATTTGATGGATGAAAGCATGGAGGGTGACATGGAGCTGCCGGGTTTCACGCTTCCAGGCGAGACCTCCCAGGAACCCATAGCTGGCTTGGAAAACCCTGTGGCCCAGCTGGCTGGGGTGTCCTACCAGATTCCTGACACCATCGAGTGGGAGCAGCAGAACCAGGGTCTGGGTAAGAGAAAAAGCCTCTTCTTCCTTTGTCCTTATGGAGGACATGTCTTCTGCTCGTCACTTTGCGTGGAGACAGCCCCTCGTGTTGGGAAGTCTCAGGGGTTGGCTCCCAAGTGAAACACACAGCAGGTTGATTTCTGAGGAAACTGCATCCACCAGTGATGACTGGTTGAACTGGGATGGGTCTCAGGCAGTGTGACCTGAGTTTTCATTTTGGGGAGAGCTGTTCCAGACCTCATCCTTCATTCCTAGAGCTTAGTGTGTCTTGCTCCAAGGGTGGACAAATACATAACTTCTCAGGTGAGATTCCTGGGGAAATTTCAGTTCGCTTGGCCTGGGATGGGTTTGTGCAAGGATATACATCCTGTGAGGACCAGACAAGTTGGGTAGTTGCTGGTCAGCCCATTTGCTACTTCAGCAGCATTTTTAGGGGGTGTATGCTCCAGGCATGGGACCCTGTGCTGGCAATGTTAAGCAAGACAAACCTGCAAAGCCTCCTAGGCCCTGTGTTTAATGACTGGACTAATTTCTTCCACCTAGGAATAGCTTGTGAGTGTTTATATGTGTGATGTCCATCTGATGCAAGTCAAAGCTGGTGTGGGACAAGATAGAGTTTGGAAGGGAACTTGCCCAGCTTGGCTGAGGGCACTGGGATCATTTCCCAGCATACTCAAATTCCAAGCTAAACCCTATCAAAAGCAGTGGGAACCATTTGGGTGAATTGGTGGGAGCTGAACCACGTCTATACAGAAATTCTCTCTGTCTGACTGTTGGAGAACTAGCTGGTTTGAGAGGCTCAGCGGATAAAGAAACCCCAGAACTCTTCTATATGTTCTCTTATAAAAACTATCACTTCCACTGAATATTAAATTCAGATTTAGCCTGGCAGTTCTTCCCCTGTAATGCTGTTTCCAGCCTGCTTTAGCATTGTTAGCTTCCTTTGAATCAAATCAGAGCATATTTCAAGATCTCTGTGGGAGGGTTGCTCTTTGAGGGCAGATTGAGTTTGCATCAGATCTGATATCTCCCTGTCCCACTAACTCTTGCTTGAAAAACATCGTATTGAGTGATTTCTGTGTCAGATCTGTTTCATGTGTCCTGTTATCCCATCAGACTGGACAGGAGCTGTAGGGGGGGGGGGATAATTATGAGTGTTTGATGGCTTTGTGATTGGCTTTGACAAGCTGGATTAAAGAGGTCCATAACAGTGCTTGGAGGAAAAGTGCGTAAGAAACGTAAGGTTATGGTGGGAGTCCCATCAGCAGCTTTGTGTTCTCACCTTGTCCGTTTCTTTGGTGCAGGATCTTTGTGGTACCTCCAGAGAAAACGTGAGAGGAGCAGCGTATTTTCTGCACTCAGGGGGCAGTGGGCTGGCTTGGTGAGCTCTGTATGACTGCTAGCCATAGTGAGAAGGTAGCATGAAGCTGTTGGCCATCTAAAGCTATTTTTCTGGTTCAGGACCATAAGTACCAGGCTGGATGGCTTGGCAGAGCTTTGCCTCTGAATCAGTCCATCCTGGCTAAGGGTGTCAGTGGTTTTTGTAAAGCGTTCAAGAGAGGCAGCATTTTGCAAAATCCGAGGTGTGTCCCCACACACCAGGCATTGTGGTGTGCAGCGTGGAGGAAGATGGCACTGGTGTCTCTTCAGGGATCCTGGTATGTTCAACCGTCCCAACTAAGGTGGCTGATGGAATGTCATCTGGCTTGGGTCTCCGGAGGGCTCTGATGGGAGCCCTGTTCCCAGAGGAGGGTGCGAGGCAATGGTTGGTTTGTCTGGAAGGGCGTGTAGAGCCTGCTGAAGATGCTGTTGCATATGACATTAGCTGTTGCCATGAATTTTGGGGCTACAGGGGAGGTTGTTCTGCAGAAGCCGTCAGGCACAGCTCTGTTCATGGCTGATGCAGGTCTGAACTGGAGTCACAATTGCGTTTCCAACCCTACGGTCTTCTCTGCTGGAGGAAGAGGCTCAGGGTAGGAGATGCCTATCAGGTGCATTGGTAAATGAGGCAGGTGAGAAAGCAGGGACCAGCATCTGAAGCTGTCCCTGGTGTGCACTAAACCTCTCTGGCTGGAGAGGCTGTAATAATTGTGTACAGAAAATCAGCAGGTCTGGGCTATGAAACACTATGTTGCTTTAACAATCCTCACCTAATAGCATCTGCTGTGAGGTCCCTTGCCCTAGGCAGAGCCATGCTGGAGGATGCACTTCACAATATCTCGTCTAGAGATCTGCTTCTGAACATATGGGCCCAGTTCAGTTTCTGATGTTTAACATTGCATCATCCTGCAGCCTTCATCCTCCGCCACCTTCTCTCTTTCTTACAACTGGTAAAGGCCACCTTTCCAAAAATTTCAGACATGGGATAAATTGCCTGTGTGGCAAAAAGTGGGATTTTTCTCCCTAACTTATGTTTTTTTTGACCGTCCTGCAAACTGGAGGAGCCCTTGTGAAGTCTGTCAAGGTAGGTCGGTTGCAGAGCACCGAGTCCGGACATCTGAAGGCCTGAGCAGATGTGAATTTCTGCGTTCTCTGGAAGTGCCTGGCTGGGTTACGTGTCACCAGATCCAAATGGTTTGGATTGCGTCTTATGTTTAATCTGTTGCAGTCTGTGCAGGAGGCCATGAGGGAGAGGATGAGGCTGTGGCTGAGCAGATTTTGTCTTTAGGAGTTAGATGGGACTTCCGTGCAGGGGTGTTGTAGGTGAGAAAAGAGGGGACGTGGTGGGATCAGCCTCTCTGTTTGTGACTTATCCCTCTTATTCCACCAGGTAAAAGCTTATGCAGAGAGCCATTTATTCTTCTTCTGTCTAGACAACCTTAATGGCTCTTTGCCTTCCCCATCTACAATGTGCTGATGCCCACAGTGCTCCTGAGAGGAAGGGAAATTATTTATGTTTTAGAGGCACAAAGAAAACCAAGGACTTGCATGAGCAATGTGAGGCCAGCAAGAACCTGAACCCAGGTGTTGGAAGGGCTCATTTGCTGGGAGCACACAGGGAATGGGAGATGCTCTCACAGCTCCATGGCAGTGTTGGACACCTTTTCCTGTGGTGCTGCTGCAGTAGTGCAGCCCTTCCCCTCTCCCCAGTTTGTGCCAGGTGGGAGTTTCTGCCTTGGTGCCCTGGTGGGATGGGCAAACGCTGGGCTACTGCTGTGCCTGTACCTGTGTCTGTACCTGGTCCTAGTGACGTGTTTCTTTATGGGGTGTATTAGGGAGAACAGCAAGGGTGGGAAAAAGCTCGTGTCAGCAGCAGGTGGATTGTTAAGAACAGAAGAAATCCCCCAAATTTCACATTGTTCAAGCACATTGTTCTGCTGGAGCACCTGGAGAGACCAGATTCACCACGAAGGGCTCATAAAGCTTTACATCTGCTGGACGTGTGCATGGACTATTTCTCTTTGAAACCCCTTTTCTCTAAGTGCTTTTCATCTAAGGCTACCTCTTTGAAATCCAGTTCCTTCAAGTGCTTGTCTTCTAAAGCTAAAACCAACTTGACTTTCATTTTAAGACAACTTTGTACCCACTGGACACCCCCAGACACAGCCCCTGGAGGGGGGAGCAGCTGGGTCAGGGGCACTGTACTCCCTCCTGCCTCAGCCCATGGCGAGCGTCTTTGTGCATCCCAGGGAGGAGCTCTGCGCTCCCCTTCCTTCGCCAAACAGTGCTGAGATGTGGAGAATTTCCTGTCTTGTGTGAGTGAAGTATGGTTTAGAAGGGGAAGTGGTTCTGCTCGACCTGCGATGTGGCATAGGAAAGGAAGATCTGAAGAAAGGTAACGGTACCCAGCAGAGTACGAGATGAGGCTACAGCATCTAAACACCAAACTTTTACAGTTGGCATTTTTCATTTTTAAAGTGCTTTGCACATAGGTCCTTCTCCTGGGGATGCATCTGTCCTCTGGCCTTCAGAATTTTGACATGTACCACTAAAATCTACAGTACAGAAGAGCCCAGAAGTATTGGAGTAGCTATTCTCATGTCAGTTATTATTGAGTTTGCTTGGTCTGATGGTTGACACACTGCAAATCCCTGGAGAACGAGAAACTTGATCTACAAACAGCTTGGCAAAGCAAGAGACACTTTGGATTTTTGTAATGGTCAGTGAGAAAGTGCTGGAGAAATGGAATCATTAAAAATGTCAATTCTGGGAAGTCAGATGGTCCTACATGAACTCCAGCTGAGCAAAAGCAATTTATATGTGCCAGTAATGAGGCTGTCGGTTTTATGGTCCATCGGCTGACTCTCTAACCAGCAATATTTAGCCAAAAAGTAAAGCAGAAGATGATGTCATCTGTGCCTTTATAAAATCGAATTGGATCTTCCAAAAGCCGTTCTGGTTGGCTTGCAGCTCTGGAAAAGAAAGGCATGAATATGCTTTGAGATCTCTTCTGGTGCCCTGTTGAAATGCTTTGTGTTCAGAGGTTGTCAGTGAAGGACACAGCAGTACTTTGGCACCTCTTTGCGTTGTGTGTGAGATGACTTTGACCTTTCTCGGCTTGTTTCTTGATTTGTATGTAGGTGGTGTGTGGTAGGCGAACACTAATTGTTCGGAGAGCATCAGAGGGGCAAGAAACTTGGGCTTTCTGGGGATGAATAAAAAGACATAATTTCCCCCTGCTGCCTCTGTTGTGATTAAGTGTTTATGCACTGCAAGAACTGCAGTTGGTTTAGGTGGGTTCAAACCTAGGGAACAGTTTCTGGGTCCTTTAGTTATTCCTCGTGAATGTTAAAGGAGATGGTCTTTGTTGAACGCCTCCATGGAGATCAAAGCCCTCTACTTCTGTGTTGGTGGTGACTACTGTGGCTGCGCTGTTCTCCTGCTTCTTAAGAGTATTTATTCTCCCAGTGTCTGTGGGAATTCTTATTTTACAGACCATGAGCCAAGACATAGCAACGTGGCTTGAACTGGTGTGAGGACTTCATGTTAGAGCATGAAAATGTCCCCAGGCTCCCAAGCTATCTGCTAATGCCCTGGTGCTTACCTATCGTCCACGTTCCAAGG